GCGATTCTTCCTTTAGTTCCCTGGTAGTGCACACAGAGGTGGCTGTTCGAAACATGTTTCTCACAATCGCCCTCTTTGTGTGTGAAGGGTGGGAAGAAAGGAAATGGACAAGGATGTTCTTGTTACTTGGCTTTCGATACCACTTTGTCAGGTAACCGCTACTTGATAGGTTTATTTTGACGTCCAAAAACGGAAGCCAGTTTTCTATCGGTTTCTCCCGGGTGAACTTTATGTACTCGGACTGCTCGTTCAATAATTCAAAGCATTTGTCCATCTCCTCCTGCGTAGAGAAGACGACAAAACAATCATCTACATATCTGCAGCAGAGTAGTGGCCATAAGTCAATATCCTCGCACAGGAGTCCAAAACACCAGCGCGAAAACTCCTAGAGGCTTTTTGGATCAATGCCAAAAACTCTACAATGAGTGGCAAGGACGAATGCCCGGAGGTCATACGCGACCTGATCCCGTACGTTCGCATCGATTTTTGATGTGGGATGGTGCAGTCGTCAACCACATGCGACTATAATCAGCTGTTCTAAACTTCCTCATTGGAAGTCACGAAAAAAGCGGTGGGTTTTTCGAGAAGTTGTTGATCGTGTAATTACCAAAGAGTCTTTCGTCTTTTTGTAAGTGTTATTGAAGCGTTTGGCCTAGTAGATTGTATATCAGTATACCCTTCCAGGCTCTGAAGAAGGCGATACTGCCAAAACGTCAGCTAGCGTTGTATTGTATTGTGTTTTTATGGAAGTAAATGTATACAGAATTAAAGAGCTTGTCAAGAACTCACAAGGTATCGCATGGGAAGCCGTTATTCTGCTACCATCACACCGTCTAATTCGTCGACCACTCAATCTTTTAACTCCATTGGAATTAGATGAACCTTCATTACAGCAAACACAATGCGACCAGCAACTCGAGACAAGAGCACCACAACCAACTAAACAACACGAATTACCAATGGAAGGAGACAACACAACAGCAGTCACAGAAACAACTCCCAGAAAGCGAACAGCGAACTTACGACGCCAGCAGCGAATCGATTATAACAAACTTCTCAATCCCTCAGCAACAACTCCAAATGTTTCACTGATCTTCAACATTCCATCCCTATTAGCTCTTCTAGGACAATGGTCAGCAGCAAATTCGAACCGGCATACCAACTTCCGCCATATAAAGTGCATCAAAGGAGGAATACAACTCACTTCACCTGGTAACACCCCTTACCAGGTAAGTACAGACGGTTACTGTAAAACGTTAGAAACACCAGAATCCAACTTGATAGTCAGTCTTCCCAAAAAAATGTAAAAATCTCATGGTTCAACAACGTGCAAAACAGGCTTCCGATAATCCTCCCTTCGATATCGTTCCAACAAAACAAAGGAGAAATCACTACAAAAGTCTTCAGTATGACAACAGCAGAAATGATCCCCAACATTCAGAATAAACTCGAAACCAATATCGTAGTGGATAAAGATATCTTTACTGTGAACGATACCGTACTACAGGGATGTTATCGCTGCCGCAAAGGATCAAAGCACAGGTGCGATGCAAATCATCAAGACCTATCCGAGCAGAAATAACATCCCCTTCAGCGACCTTCTCAATACCGTGCAACAAGGATGGACAACACTCAATACTCCAATTTAGCTTCAGTCACGCCAAAATCGACGAAAAATGTACGGTCACATGCGGATCCACACCTACTACTTTCGCAATAAGAGGCCTACTAGAATTCACGAGCGTTATGGCATACTAGACACGTGGCTGAAGGGGCAGGCAAACACGGATTTCGAACTCCAATGGCCAGATTTCTGGCACAAAGCCGATATATTCATGAATTACCATAAAACGCTTATTGCTCTCTCTATTCTTCTAATTATAATATTCGTGCTCACTTACGCATGTCTACCTACTTGCACAATCCAAGTCGGATTATGCATGTTGAAAGCAATCAAGCTACTTTTACGAAATATCAGCAGACTAATTTGTCTCATCCGCCTAATTCCTTGTAAAAAAACAACTCCCACGCACACTACTGCAAATTGCTTAATACATGGCATGTTCTAAATTTCTATTCAACGTGCTCTGCTATTCTACTCTACTATTCACTACCGTATTTTCGCCATATAACACTCCAACAGGCAACCAGCAGCAATATCAGTACGACCTAGTATAACAACACAATGCTGCAAAATAATATGAATAAACAATTCCAGATGCCAAACAAAATGGACAAGGCTACTCAAACTCCACGAGCACCACAGAAGGGCGCCAGCACACAAACAGCAATCAAAGCATTTCTCCACGCAGCAACACAAACGGGAACCGACAACACCGAGCCAACTACCAGCAGTGCAACTCAAACGAGGCGTTTCCACCCTATAGGACAAGCCAACATCGCGATACAAACACTGCTCCACAAAGTACCAGGCCTATCATCAATGGCGACACAAACGGTTTAACTTTCGGCCGAACATTCATTCCCTGTACTCTCGTGAGGGGAAATATAGATAACATTCTTCACGAACATTGGAATTTTCTCTTTGTCAAACATTTCGAATACTTTTCCCATGACCTTTTTTCCATAACGATCTGATAACCTTATGTCTAACATTTCGTTGGCGGTTATCTCATAAAATATCTGCAGTTACAGTCATAGGCTTTGACTATCGCCTTATGAGATTGCAATACTTGAGAAATGTTTCCAGCAGCCGTCTTTCCGCATACTGTAGCCCGACCCTGCCTACTGTAGTCTGACTCCGCCCAGCGCAAAAGGTTTATAAACGGCTCCACGGTTAGCTAGCTCATGTCACAGCAACGCTGCCCAAGTCAACGTGTCCTTTCCTCAAATCCATCACATGTAGTAGAAGTCATATGAGAATCTCTTCACTCATAAGCAACTTGAACACCAGTGATCAGGCTGCGCCTATTCATTACCTCTATCATTGTTGCACTGATTGTACGGTTGTATTGCTATGCCATAATTGTTGTATAATTAGGATAAACGGTCTAAGCACCTAAGTTTGAGGTGCCCGGCATTGTAACTGCTATTCACAAGAAGTCCCGCGTAGCACAGACAAAGGCGAGCAGCTTATTCCAACCGAGTCTTCGTAACTACTTGTTATTCCTATATCTACGAGCCAAGCCAACACGGTGCTCAGATTCACATAGCCAGGACGATTTTGAACATGATTAACAAAAAGGCTCGTATGTACTTTCTAAAGCACCATTACTTCCTATGACAAAGACGTGGCAGCAGTTCACTAAGATAGCGCTGGTCGATAAACTAAGGTTTAGCTTCGGGAACCTTCCCTCAAGAAGGTAGTGATGCTGAATAAGTATGTATTTATAGATGCATTTTTAAGGACATCTTTCAGACTTAATAAATCACTAGGAATATTCTGGAAGAAACCAGACATAGAGCTGTACATCACTTCTCGGTTCACTTTCACAAGTCACACTCGTATTTTTATTATCGGAGAATTTAAGTGCAGTTTACTTCACAACGAGTATTTTCGGCATACGCTTAAACGGTGCTTGACAAAAAAACAGCGATTTTTAGCAGTGCTTTCGAGATAAATAATTCTCCAAAAGACAGAGGATCAACGATACCGTTTCTCGAAAACAAAACAAGCCACAAGCGATTCAGAAACTCTTCAAAAAAGAATGCATTCAGACAAAAATTATCGTTATCTAACATAAAATTTTGAATTTTGAGGTCAACCCTGGAAAAAAACGATTTTTCTGTAGCCATATTCTCCAGTGCGAATAGTTTATTGGTGTAGCACTAGAAGTTCATCTTTTCCCAGACCGCGCCCTCAAGAAAAATGCGAAGAAAGTGGTCCCACGCAGAAATTTCCTAAAAACCTAATTCATAAGAGCCGTATGCAGAAAACCATTTCACAAGACTGGAGCCCTCCTATCTAGTGTTTACCAAAGCACTTTGTTCTGCCCAAGTAACATTTCGTCATTAGGCGCTTTTAAAGGCAAAATTTATCATGACTATTGTAGGAGTGACAGAATAAAAAAAGGACTTTCCTACTTAATATGGAAGGGTCGTCAAAGAACTCCGGGATGCATTCGTCTGGAGTCCACTCATACATTCGCGCCATACTTGCTGGATATTCTCGCGGGACCCACTAAATCCACGTTTACACAAATTCACAAAGTGGCAGGTAAGAATCTTTCGATACAAGATATATTAAATGTGGGAATTATGTCAATTCATTAACTCTCACCTTGCTGCGCACATGTTTGCATAAATTCGACTTAGTCTCGACTCGTGCCTTATAGACCATATAGCCGATATCTGAGAGGACTTCAGAAACGTGATGTGACAGATGACGGAAATTCTGTCTGAACTAGACTAAATAGAGAGCACTTGCTTGACTTCTACTTCTAAAATAACAAACCCCAGCTGATCATCGCCTTTGGTGAGACGATATTTCGTCCTAGTCAGATCACGCCAGCCACCGTCTTTTTGTTTGAAATCACAAACCCACGGAAATACAGGATGGTTATGAACTGAAAACAATACATCTCTCAGCAAAAATGTGGAATGGTATCGAAGAATAATTAAACGATCAATAATCTATATAATATTAAAAAAGGATTTGATTTGAAAATGTTTTTGAAAAATTTGAAATTTTTTGAAATTTTTGAAGATTTGAAAAAGGATTTTAAAAAGTGGAGGATTTGACAGACTTATAGTAGAGTTACTGTCCTACAGCTGTCGATGTGAGTATAACCTTCATAAAATCTCTGCTATATACTACATTTCACTATATTTCCGATGCAAAAACTACTGACTCAACGGAAAAATTGGATCTTTCTGTAAGAGTGACAACTGTCGGCCTCAACGAGGCATTTGGTGAAAACACCAAGCCGAGATAGACTCCTTGAACGATTTAGTAGTTGACGAGATCAACTTCCGAAGATCAGGAAAAACGTCTCGCTTATATACAAACAGACTGTTGAGTATTCAAACACTCCATAAAGTTCCAAATTTTCAACGCTAATATTCAGAGGCGTCCTGCAACACAGGTAGAATCGGTCTCCACGCCTATGGCTTACCAAGCCTTCCGTCACTCCGGCGTCGGCAAACTGGTACCAGAGTTGTCTGGGAGGATAGCAGCACTGGCTCGATACATCGAAAGGCCATCACGAGTCATTGTAAAAGCCAGATATGCATTCAATCATCTCCAGCAATGCTTAATGAAGTCGAATGCATGGCGCACCCCTCAGGACGCCGACAGCTTTATCCATTATCCTTTAATATTCAGAAAGCTCAATAAATAGTGTTACGTAGAAAACAAAACAATAAAATAAGATGAGGGAAGCATAATGGTTGGAAATGTTGAGCTTTATTCATATGGTCACTGATTTGAACCCTATTTGGGCCATCATAACCTCGCATTATTCCGATGCCAGCAAATATACCAGACGTGTCGGGGAATAGCACCCTCCGATCCAAAATAGCGGGTGACTGCCAGTGTTGAAGGCCTCCAGCAGAGCTATGCTAGGATCCCAGGAAGAATTAACACGACGATCATTCGGCGAAATTCATGAAAAGACAAACTCTTGAAGGGGTAGTCAAGCACCCACGCAAATCTGAACCTCATGGTGGAGGATGGGGCGAGGGAGCAAATCAAACGAAAAAACAGCACCCGCATAACAGGCGAAGTGTAAGACAAAAAAAAGAACAAAGCAACTAATATAATGGATAGTCAAAAAAATAGAAAGTCAGACCTGTTATTTCTATAATCGTTTGATAAGAATACTATTGAAATCTTTTACGAAAAAAAAGCAGTAGTAAACCATTGCAGTAAAAGATTGCTCATCTCACCTTCTCCTCTTACACGACCAGCCGCCTTGTTCAGAATCATAATATAATCGTAGTTTGATGTTAATCCATTGATCCAATTCAATGTCACCTCACTGAAAATCATTGTTCAATCTAAATATAGGCTTAATAGTAATACACGATAATCACTATAAAGGGTAAAGGATAAAGCTCTCGGCGTTGATCAATCTCCTGAGAGATGCGCCATACCTTCGACTTCACTAAGCATCACTTGGAGGTGACTGAATGCATATCTGGCCTTTACAATGACTCGCGGTGGCCTACCGATATATCGAGCCAGTGCTGCTATCCTCCCAGACAACTCTGGTACCAATTTGCCGATCTCGGAGGAATGGAAGGCTTGGTGGGCCAGGACAGACTCCACGTGCGTGTGGCACGGCGCCTCCGACCACTGCGCCACACGTGCCCATGATAATCACTATAATAGTTAACAATAAATAGAAACATCTCAGTGATTTTCAATCCTCATAGACAATCCTTGTCATATTCTCGTTGAGCAACCCAGAAATGAACAAAACCACGTCTGATTTGCAAATGTAGCCGTAAGCAATCCACCAACCCCACTGAGATCAAAATTTTCGTTGCACCAGAAACAAATCGAACCAATGACTGTGCAGGCGCATAAGTAACGACAGCTCATTGCTCTATGTATACTATGCTATTTCGTGATTCTCATTTCTAACAATCGAACAATGAATAAATAAGCGTAAACAACATTCTGCGGAACAGGTATTGCAGTGGTAGTGGTGCCGTTCATCACGAGCACGGTGCCATTTCAAGCCCACTCTGCGATCACCAAGCCTCTTATCTCTCTGGAGGCAAGAAACTGCTACTAAACTTATATAGGAAAAGTCCACTCTCAGAACTCCAAGTAGGAACGGAATAGTCTGGTTACCTCAAGAGTTCAAGGAGAACTGACTCAATTAGCATTTAATTACATTTATGAAGACGACAATCCTCAAGCAGCAGCCGGACTCACACGCAAAAAAAAAGTTCGACGATTTTCACTAATGCTAAGTGCCAGAAACGAATCGACTAGCAAAGAATGCCAAGATTTGCATAGCAGAATCGAAAGATGAGTCGTATAAAATAGACGAAAAATAGACAACCCTCTTGACGCTACAATAAAATTTAACACAGATATGGTCACTCAAATCGATTTGCTTATGTCAACATGAAAAAAGTTTGACCCCTTGAAGAAAATCAGCACCGATGAAGACTCACATGAAACAAAGGGAAAACAATGGGTACTAATCTGGATCATCTTAAAAAAAAACTTAATAGTACTTCTCATACAAAGCTGCCTTTTGTAATTTTGCTACCATTTTCTGAAAATTAGGAGGAAAGAAGGGCAAAAAGAACTATAAGGGTATTAGATTAGAAAATCTGCTTTTGAATACATCGGTCGAATGATAGAAATATATCCCACTTGATGATCGTTAGTGACTAATAATGAGAATGCCGCTTAAGAATATGTTCACTTTAATCCATTCTGCTCCATATAGACACTAGGGTCCATATTGAGTTCAACTGGTTCAGAGTTTTTTTAGCACACTATTTACATTCGTTCGATAGCTAGTCGAAAGCAGATAGAAGTCGGACGGCGTGAAACCAGGATACCATCCTCTTCACTTAATGATTTACAAGATACCTTTTCTTGAAGAAGTTCAGTAACTGGCAATTTGACGAGTAATTTATTGTTATTTCATTTTAATCGCTATGATTATAGTGTAAAATGTGTGGACATGGAAATATCAGAATAAACTCAAAATAAGCTGCAAAATACTTTCAACCGGCGACGGCAATGCATTTGCAAGAAGGACCATCGTAACACATAGTAAATGGCAGCATGCATGTCATCCATACCCATAGAACAATAGAGCAAGGTCTCTTCTAAATCCTATCATGTTATAAACACCTCAAGTCCTCTATTTAGTGAGAAAAGACTTTTTATTACCAGAAAACCCGAAGTTCCGCAGCCGATGAAAAATTGCTCGTATTCGATTGGATCGGCCACGAAAAATGGCGCAGAGGCGGAATAGCTTAAGTCCTTTCTCTTAGAAAGAGAATTACTAGGTTTTGCTAGATTGACTTCAAAAATTGCTCAAATGCGAAAACGCACCAGCAATCTAAGAAGTGAACTAAGACAGAAAGATGTCCAACAAATAACGCTTATAAAAAGAATGAATGAATTTTGAATAACCTAATGAAACAGCGCACAGCATTCACAGTAAAAGTAAATGCACCAGGATCTGAATGAGTTGGTATTCAGTTTTTGCTGACAAGATTCAATCAGGGTTTAAGTTTATAACAAGAAGTTAGGTGAATTTTGAATCCACACAAAGTAAGAAATTTCTTCGTAGGAATATTTGAAGTACTGCTAAACTAGACATTTTCAGATTCCAAAATAATAGACATTGAATGATAAACTTACTTCTGATAGGCGAAGTCTTCGTGTGGGAATGCGTCAGTGTTTTTGGCAAAAGGATCACAAAGCAGCCAAAAAGCGTTGTCGCAGAAGAACTGCGGCTCGGTGACATAAAATTCGAGCCGATCAAATTGATAGTAGATATCGGCTAATGATGCGGCCACGAAATTGTGAATCTAAACCGTGTATAGTATTAACAGTAAGAACACTTCATTCAAAAATCTAACCTGGGAGTACGGTTCGATGTTACTGTGGTAGTGACGCAGTACCGTATTCAAGTTTACCCAATCAGGTCCCAATTCACTGGAGACTACTGCAACGACGTCGTCTTTGTCAACGATAGCGATAATTGGCACAATGTGTGGGATGACCCGGAATGGACGAAACACCGACTCGATAATAGCCTGAAAAATATTAACAGAGGCCATTAAAAAAAGCTATCATATGAGTTCTTTTAATACAAGGTTAATTCCCATAAATCGCACACATGGAGAAAAACGATAGGAAATCTAATTTATAGCCTCAATGGACCAACGTGAGAAATTACACCGCATATTTAATCTATACATATTAAAACATTTGTGGCAGTGTGCAGTCCGGCGAGGCAACAGTTTTTGTGATTAAAGAGTATACTAACAAGTTCGTGTGGGTTCATCAAGAAAACAGCGAATTATTGATCAAGGCCGAGATTAATGGAAAGTCGATTCTGGAATTACTGAAAGACGTACCAGTATTATACTTCCGGCTAGCAAAAGAACCTCTGTCACTAAAAGAAAAACCGTATAAGATCGATAGGAAGGCTACTTTCTCCACCGCTGTCCAAAATACCGAGTCGCTCCAAACTTCATCAAGCATTCTACCAGAGGACAGCCACCAAGTACCGGATACCGAGACGAGAAAACTATGCACCTGTCTACAATTCAGTCAGGACCAGATTTTCACTCAGTAGAAGAGGTGTCCTCCCAACGGTTTACCGCCTCACCGTGGCTAGGTGTTCCTAGGTGTCGGGCAGACGGAATATCAATCCACCAGCAAAGCTCCCCAAGCTGAGAAGAAGTCCGACGCTTCCATTAGGAAGCCCAGGTAAGAGTAAACCAATACAACAAACCACCACCGTCCTGATATCAAACTAGTCGTATGGTGGCAAATCTCCCTCTGATCACAAGAGGGCAAATGCCCGTTGTCGGTGACGATCTGGGGCAGTCTTTGGCCAGGCTCACCTCGAAACTCCAGCGAAACACAATGGCTAAGCCAGCAAAATTCCGAAAAATAAAAAATATGCTGGGGCCCGCACAACCAGTGAAGACGGGTCGTTCAAGCATTCAAGTAAGTAAGAATAAGTGCGCGACGAAAGAACACTTCTGTGCTCAGTATGTGGAGTACCGTCTATGGAGGAGAATAGTAGTTGGGTCAGCATAACATGGCCTAAAAATTTGTAGAAGTAACGAAGATCATAGAAGCCACAGTGAGGTAAATAATTTGCCAGAGGAGTCAAGGGCTACCTTAATAGGAAACATGGCTCTTCCTGGTGGGGCGCTAACCATTACAATTGAGCCCAAGTTTCTCACCATTTTACCCATTTCTAAGGTAATCTTGCGTAGAGTCGCATGCGATTTGCATGATCTTCAACATAGACTGCGTAATAAAGTTAGAGTTGAAACGCAAACTGGGAGCGGATAACAGGAAGTAATGGCATTACCACCATTGTCATTTCCTCAACCATTCTTTAGACAAGAAGACCCTAACAATGAATTTGGCATTAAGCTTCAAAGCTTTTTCAAGGTCGTTGATCACTATTGCGCCAAGAGACTCTGCTGCAACCTCACAGAAGTGCAAAAATATAGTAAGCGGAAGGTACGAGAATTGATAATGTTAGGAAACATCAGACTATCCATTAATGATAAGCGTGGGCAGTTCTTCGCCGGCTTTCGTGAATCAGGATTATGGTGACAAATTTGGGTGCGCATATCAAGGAAACAGCGAATCGTTGATCAATGTCGAGTTTCAAAGAAAGTCAGTTTTGAGAATTACTGTAGGATATACGCACGCTTGCTTTTATACCTACATTTCCAAGTATTCGTGGGAGCGGAGCTGCTTTGATCGCACATCAGGCTCATCAAACCTCTCATTCCTCTAGGGTAGGGAAGTTGGCATCCGACTTGTCCGGGAAAAAATCACTCTCTGTATTCCAATTGAAAACGCTCTAGCTCCGCTATCTGCGGACTCCACGAAAAGCCAAATCGATCAGCACTTTAGATATTCAAGATGAAATGAAAATTCTGAAGCAGAACCCGAAGGCACAGTAAAAGTTGGAAGACCTTCGTGGATGTTTGGTGCGAGGAAACAAATCGAATATCAGAAGTGCGGAGATCCGCACACTAGACGTGACGACGGATCGTATAAAATATACTTAATTACTTACTTGATGCTTAAACGGTCCGGCCTCACTAGTTGTGCGGACCCCAGCATAATCACCGTTTTTCGGAGATTTGCTAGTTAAGCCATTGTGGTTCCCTAAAATCCCGAGGACAGCCTGACCAAAGTCTGCCCCAGGTCGTCATCACGACAGGCAGTCGCAGTCCTTGTGGATCAGAAGGAGATTTACCACCATGCGACTTTGATATTACGGCGGTGGTGGGTCCTCGTCTTGGTTTACTCTTAGCTTCCTGATGGAAACGCCGGACTCCTTCTCAGCTTGGGAGACTCTGCCAGAGGGACGAATCCCCTCGCTGTACAGCGCAATCCGACACCCAGAAACGCCTCCCAGTCACGACGAGGCGGCAAACCGTTGAGAGGTGTATAAAATAAAACGGATGGAAAATAAATTTCCATGTACAACCAAAATTGAAGAAAAAGCATGTGGAACATTGTTCAGAGGTGCCTCCCAATACCCTCAAGGTCATGTTTCATTTCCAGCTTTTCTTAACAGTGTGATCAAACTAGAGAATTGAATAAAGACACCCATAAAACTGTAGAAAGAAGCATTCAGTGGAGAAAGTAAGGTGATACCCTAAAATAAATAAATGAACAAAATAAATAACAGAATGAAAAAAGTCTCAGGATGTCTGTATACTGGTTTAAAAAATTGTTCTTCGCCGTTTCTCGATACCAATATGAAAATAGCAAATTTCGAAACGTACCTCTCCCTCCATCCGACAGTAACAGGTCCCAAATCGACGAGAAACATCTTTCCAGTATTCGCCATCATCTTTCTCGGACGCATCAGACGACCTTCAGTAGAAGAAATTAGAAAAACGTAAAAACTTGTTAAACAAAAGAAAAATCGCTTCGACGTTCTCGTAAAAACGTGGGTTGACGCGACGACGGTCTAGCTTACAATATGTCATCTCCCTCCCCTAACTCTCCCATTAATTATCGGTTTATATATCTATTATTCTTTATACTTTCACTTAATATAATCCATGGATTCTTCCAATAGAAGGAGCACAGAGTATAACAAGAGAACAATTTCATAAAATTTTCACAAAGAGTGGCTGCACCAGGTGATGAAGATTTGAGAACGGGGAAACCAAACCCCTCAAGCAGCAGCTGAACCCAAACAAAAATCCGAAGATCCTTCTTGGCTGTGAATGAGAGGAACGAATCAATGGAAAAAAGTGCTGAGATGCGCACAATATATGATGACGGGTAATATATGAAAAATAAATAGGTAAAATTTTACTAACCAAGCATTGTATTAGCAACCTAGCAACCCGCAGGTGTTAGAATAGACCCACAGCGTGAACCAATGTATGGTTTGTAAGCGAGTACCCACATTGGTATACATACCTCCCAACGGTTTACCGCCTCATCGTGGCTGAAAGGTGTTGCTGGGTGTCGGACTACGATATACAACGAGGGGACTGATCTCCCTGGCAGGATCTCCCAAGGTGAGAAATAATCCGGTGTTTCCACCAGAAAGCCTAGTTAAGGGTAAACCAATACTAGGATCCACCACCGTCCTGGTATCAAACTAGTCGCATAGTGGCAAATCTCCATCTGATTCATAAGGGCGGCGACCACCTGCGGTGGTGACGACATGAAGCAGAGTAAGACCAGAACGACCTCGAGACTTCAGGGAGCCACAATGGCTAAACCAACAAAACTCCGAAAAATGGAGTTTGTGCTGGGACCCACACAACCAGTGAGGACGAGCCGTCCAAATATCCAAACAAGAAGCATAAATAATATGAAGTATAACTAACAGCTTTGTTCTCGGTGAACATCTCAATTTATCATTTGCCTTTGATGTGGCTTCAAATAAGGAAATCTTTGCAGCTTCTGAACAACAAAATTCATCAATTCGTTGCTTCCGTGTGGATTGAGCTATTTCCAGCCATCCTTTAAAAAATAGTGCGTTAACGACAAGCTCGTAAATATTTAGGAAAGGTCCATGATTAACAAACAACTTCTCGACGAAATGCATTGATTTCAATACAGTATTGGCCTAAAATTTATTGGTTTTCTAACTTCAAACGAACAAGCTTCAGATTATAGCGAGTTTGACTAACCAAAAATAAAGAACAGGAACCATTAGAATCACTTGATCTTTTCCATTAAGAGACAAGTGTCCCTACCCTATATGGTGAAATTCAGTTTTTCGGACCACATGAATCTTCTCTTCGTTTTCTTTCCCTTACAGGGTCATATTCCGAGCAATGATAACGAACAAACAACCGGATTCGGTGCAGAAAAACACGGTGTTTTCTTCAAATCGGTCACTGGTGTTGGCGAGTGTCGGGCTCGAGTAAGATCTTCCATTTGTAGTAACGGTTCCATTCAAATTTAATTTCGAAACAGGACCAAATGCTTTTAAAGTTGTAGGAAAAATGTGTCCCGTAAGACCTCAATCTCTCAAGCATTTTACCGAAAAAGTTAGCCGTAGTTATCGAAAAAAATCGTCGCGAATGTGTCATTTACAGCGATTTCTGGAGGAAAGAAAACCTCATGACGTACAGGAAATTCGTTAGCCAACATTAAAACAAAAAGCGCTTCAGTTTCTAGGAACATATATAGTTCAGACTGAAAGAGTGACAGATGAAATGCATGACCGTTCCACATTTACTTGAAAATGGAACGAATCTGAAAAATACGACTTGTAAGAGTGAAATATGGAATAGAACAACCTAAAAAGTAATGAGGAATAGAAAAAATGTAAAGGCAACGCTCGAAAGGGTAGAAACTAGACCTGCGCATATTTACAGCTTTTTCGAAACCTCTATATAACCCGACATCACATTTTGCGGACCATAGCAATTTTTGCACTCGAATCCTTATGATACAGATTCGTTATGATACATCATCAATAAAGATCTTGCGATTTCCCCGTGGATTTGGCTGCTGCTTGAGAATTTCGTTGTAATGAATATCACTGAATGGTGGTCGAGTAGATTCTCCTCGGGAATGATGTGCTACGGCGTTCTCATGTCTTTACCTCAGGTAGTTAGTTGCCAGTCATTGTGCATCATAGAGAGCATCTTGGAGAAGTCAGGTACCAATTTCCAGACCTCAGAAGGATGAAAGGCTGGCTTGGTCCAGTACAGATAGGAACCGGGTACTTGAGGATTTTAATGAACGGCATCTCTACCACTACGTTAACTACGCCCCAACGTGCGTGTACAATACAGTGAAAACAGCTTCCTTAGTTGTTTTAGCATTTTACCCCACTATGTTCCTTTTCCATCGATAATATAATTATGAATTTAACTCACTATAATGGCATTTTGACACTAATAAAAAGTTCCTCAGGAATTAAAGCCTCCAACAGATATTTTGATATTTTCTCCCAACGGTTTAGCACCACATCGCGGCTGAGAGATGTTCCTGGGTGTCGGGCTACGATGTACAGCGGGAGGATTCATCACTTTAGCAGGGGCTCCCAAGCCGAGAAGGAATTTGGCGCTCCCATCAGGAATCCTAGCTAAGAGTAAATCAGTACCAGTATCCATCACTGTCTTGACATGGAACTAGTCGCATGGTGGCAAATCTCCCTCTTATCCACAAGAGCGGCGACTGTCTGTGGTGATGATGAACTGAGGCACATTTTGGCTAGGCTGACCTCGTGACTCCAGGAAACTACAATGGCTAAGCCAGCAAAACTCCGAAAAAATGGAAATTATGCTGGGATCCGCACAACGAGTGAAGACGGACCATCGAAGTATCCAAGTAAGTAATAAATATTTTAAATTAAACGATAACCTTTCCACGAGGTATCCAATGTTAAAAATGGCTATAGCTGGCCACCGTGATTAAGTATACTACAACTACATCCATATTGATATATGAGCAAAACTCGAAACATCAGGTAGGCTTCGTTAAAATAAAAAGAAATTGCCTAAAAGAAAGGCAAAGCAAGGCCTCGTTTGGTATGGTGTATAGCACGTGAGCCTCCGAAAAATATAATTGCGGGATCGAAGACCAGCTGAGGTTTTTGCTTATGCTTTAGCATCCCTGATGTTGTATTTCACATAATACTCTACACTGAAAAAAAACAATCAGTAAATAAAAAACTGAACATTACACCACAACTTTTTTATTATTAAACGTATTATATGACCAATCTGAGGATCCCGACGCTTCTTGCACTTGATTCGTATCCTTGCACTTTGCATCTATAAAGGTCATTGAACTTTTTTTGAACGTGGGTTCGGCTTCTAACTGAGGATGTTTCCTCTTCGTCACTAATGTCGTTGAATATTGGTAGATTCTATAATCTCTGGAATCCTCAGATAGCTGTGCTGTAGTGTTCCCAAGTGGATTAAAGAAAGCGATCTTGTTTCAGGGAAGTCTGCTTCCAATTTCTCTATGGCAAGAGGATAACAGCTTTGGAAGGCCTGAGGAAGGGGTGCAACCACCACTTGAGTAGGTTGGGCTACCCGCGCAGCGAATGGGATCACTACCTCTGCACTACTAACTGCTTTACTACAACCTGTAATTATGATTTATTTATAATCAACGATTTATTGTTATTTGAAACCACTATTATTACATGGGAAATAACACTGGACTCCTTACAAACAATAGAAACATGTGAAATCATTGATATTCAGTGGAAATAAAAAAATTGCAGAAACAAGGGAAATTGAAACTCACGTTTGTTGGCCTGAAAAACTCTGGATCTCTTGATCTACTTTTCGGAAAACCACCACGGAATCCAAGATTGTTCCATGTTTTACATCGGAAAGTCGTTCATCAACAAAATTGCATACTGCTGGAACCAAGATTTCTGTGAAAGCTTTATCGTCCCATTGTCTCGATTTCATAAACCTGAATTCAATCATCGATTGGACAGTCTGATCTTAATACGCATCCATAAGAAATATTACAATAAAATAAAAGGTCACCACGGAAAAAGAGAAGGCACCACAGTAGTATGAGCTTAGGAACAAATCACTATAAACGATAAAGGATATAGCTCTCGGCGTAATCGATTGCTGAGGGGTGCGCCATGAATTCGACTTCATTAAGCATTACTTAGAGGTGACTGACTTCACATCAGGCCTTTACAATGACTCACGGTGGCCTACCGATGGTGTATCGAGCCAGTGCTGCTATCCTTCCAAACAAGTCTGGTAACAACTTGCCGATGCCGGAGGGATGGAAGGCTTGGTGGGCCATAGGCGCAGGGATCGATTCCACGTGCGTGTTGCACTGCGCCTCCCATCATTGCGCCACACGCGCCAATTAGATCACTATAGCGGTCAAAACTATGGAGAATTAAACGTAAATATTAAAGAAAAAGAGAAAGTCCAACAATATTCAAGTATCGGGGTACAATTTAGATTACAATAGGCAACAACTCTTGAATTTTGCAAATTTAAATTTTCAGAATGGCACAGTGGTTAGAGACGTACAACGCCTTGCCAAGTCACGAAGGCAGACGATTGCCTTTGGTCAACACCTGGGGATGCTCTAGTATAATTATCTAAGGATTACTGGAAGAGCCAACTCGATTTACATTCAACAGCACTCATGAAGAATCCTCAACAGCAGCAGAACAGAACTCCGAATATCATCGTGGGTGACGGATGTAAGGCAATGACTCGAAGAAAAGAGATGCAGGCTTTCTCATAATGAGTGAAGATGGTTCATATGAATAAAAATAAGTAATAGAAACAGGCAAAACATAATGAAAAGTCAATTAGTGAACACCAATGACCTCTCGACTGTCAACTTTACATCAATTACTGCTTTGGCAACCATCTATGTAAAAACCATGAAGACATAGCCCAAAAAAAAAACTCGTGACTATATCCAGTCATTCCATTGCACTTCTATACCAAACGTTTCTTTTCTCACAGAAAACACTTCTATGGTATTTTTCTACTGTACCAATATAATCGCTGTCATACGTGTTGCACCCAATGTCG